TTCGAACATTCTAAAGAACTTCTACGTGTTTGCTGTTATGAACACTTCAACTTATGAACTCATGAATCATGGATAATCGAAGTATTATAGATAAGTCCCTCTTGTTGATCTTACGTCTGCAATTTTACATTTTCTCCTTACTAGTTGTTTTGTTATATAAAATTGTTTTTAAACTTTTATCCTGTGTTTGTTGTTCATTGACACCTGTGTGGTGCGTTTCTATCTGAGTGATCCCATCTTTTCTTTTTTTAAACTTTTTAATCCATATGTTTCTAGTTCGTAACAATAATGAGTGGATAGATAAATATGATTCAATGTCTGCCGACTTAAAGTTCGGCAAACACAGATCCGCTCATCAGAGGATGTCTGTGTATCTGCCTGTCTGTTTGATACATTTTCACTCGAGATCCATCCAACCGATTTTGACCAAACTTGGCACATACATGGTACAATGTAAGAGATAGTTTCTTAGCGTAAAAAATCGATAATTAAAAAAAAAACAATAATCGATAAAGCCGATCAAAAATCGATAACGTCAACTTTTTTCCTCCGATTTCGTTAAAACTCGGCATGTAGGTTACTTACAGCATGACGAACACAACGATACCTGATTTTTATTTCTACGCTACTGCGTTTAGCAAAATATCGCGTAAAACGAAAAAAAACGATTTCAACACAAATTTTAAACTAAAAACTCAATTTTCAAGCAATCTAATACAAACTTCCCTCAATTGTAGCCAACAGTAACTTGATTGTTTAAGAGTCATTTAACTTGATAATTGAGTCCACCCATGTAGTGAAAACTCGCTTAAATAGCGAAAAATGACAATTTTTACTGCTTTCTTTCTTATTTTTCGTTGATCTTTCAACTAGTTTTAATCAAACTTAATAATTGTTTTATAAATGTATCCTCTTTTACATCCCTGGTAGCACACTGATAAATTGAATTTCAAAAACTCCAAAATAATTGTGGTCTGAAGTGGATCTTCATGTTACCTGTTTTATCTCTTCACGTCCTTCATGACTAACTTCGACTGAATAAATACAGACTACTTCTGTTATATCAGTAACTGCATTCATTCAAAATGTTTTTTTTAATGAAAGTACTTTAAAATAATTGAAGAAGATAGACTCTAAACATGATGCTATTTTTGCTCCATTTTAACTGAACGCTTTTTCTGATCGACCAGCTGGGTATGGCTGCTAATAATAATAATAATAATAATAATAATAATAATGAGCAATCATACGGGAATATCTATTGAACTCTAATGCAAATGAATATCCAGAAACAATTGACCGTATTGTAGCATCTACCAAATATAAAATACAGAATTACAGGGTGAACCAATATCTGCACTGAAAAATCTGTAATTTTTCTAGGAAGGAAACTGCAAGAAATTGGGATGAACTCCCCACAGACATAGAACCTGTAACAATTTTATGCGGCTTTACAATATACACAGTCAGAACAATCAAATCTAATCGCCCAGACATTGTGAACAAGACCACAAAAACAGAATACACATTCCTATTGACATGGCAGCTCCTGCTGACTGCAATGGTGGTTTTATAAACGTAGCTTAGATGTGGTACAAAGCCGAAAGTATGGGGCATCTAGTGAGGGTCGAACTCACTACTGACTCGTAATTGACGAGATAAGCTTTCTAACCATTACAACACGTCGAATCCCGCTGACTACAATGTGTATAATAATAATAAAAATAAAAAAAAACAAACTTAAATACAGAAATCTTGAAGTGGAATCTAATAATTTTGGTACATGAAGAAATCAATAATTTCAGTTTGTTGTGGTTGGTGCTCTGGGGTTGATAGGAAAAGTTTCTGATATACTCATTGAAGGAATCCCTGGCAGGCCATACCTTAAAGAAATACAAATCATTGTTCTCACAAGTACAGCTAGCAAGTACACCTTTTGAAGGGCTTTATCTATGTAATATGTGGGTGATGTTAGGTTGTTTTTTTTTTCATTTTTGCAAAAATGTTCAGTGAAAAATGTCATTGGCCATTTCTGACCTTAGATCTCTGGCTGAGACGCAGTAGGAAATGTGTATACAACAGAAATCAAAAGTAATAATAATAATGATAACAATAATAGCAACCAGAAACAATTGACCCTCTTGTATCAGGTTGCGCGGTATTAGCACCCACTAAATATAAAACACGGCACGACAGAGTGGTTCAATATTGTGCACTGGAAAATCTGCAACGATTATGGAAAGGATACCGCAAGAAATTGGTATGAACACCACCCAGACCAGGTTACGGAGATAGGAGCTGTAATTATTTTTTAGGACTTTACAATATACACAGACAGAACAATCAAAACTAATTGCCCAGACATCGTTATTAGAGACCGCAAAGCCAGAATGTGTCTCCTTATTGATATGACAGTCCCTGCAGACTGCAATGTATCTTTGCACATCTTAAAAAACTATCAAAATACAAACACCTTGAAATTGAAATCTAAAAAATGTGGTACATGAGGACATTAACAATTCCAGTTGTAGTTGGAACCCTCGGATTGAGTGGAAAAGATTCCAACAGACTCATTGAAGGAATCTCTGGCAGCCCATACCTTAAAGAAATACAAAAAAATTACTCACAAGTAAAGCCCACCCCTTACGAAGGGCTTTATGTAGAATATGTGCAATTATTGGCTTTTCAAAACTGCTCAGTGGAAAATGTCATGATACCATTTCTGACCTTCGTCTCTGTCCGCGACCAAGAAAGGAATGGGTATACACCAGAAACCAAAGGAGTAGGACAACCCAGAATTCAAATCCTACAACCATTGTTTAAATACCCTCACCAATCCGAAATTGACCATGTATAGCCACCTTTGAAGATGTTAGTCAATCAGGTCTCTTCACGGAATGAGAAGGACCTACTACATCTGGATCTGTTCTAATGAGAGTTCATACTTGGCAACTTTTCGTTGTCTGCGAAAAATTCTTGTGTCTTAGAAAGTCAAAATAAAATAAAATAACTCACTGCTTATTATGGCCTTGCTGCCAATGGATCATTTAATCAGAATATGAGATCGCGAAAAAGCATTGTTAAATATAGTTTATGATACCTAATTACACAATTGGCATGTTAATGTAGCAATATAAGGACATATAACAAAGAAACAAAAATCAAGAAGCAGACATTTGCTGATAACTCCTGACGAATGGACTAACAGGTCTGTCTACGAAACTGGAGTCGGGATGCTGAAATCAAAAAGCGAAAACCTATGGCTTACATTAATTCTAATTTTTATATATATATATATATATATATATATATATATATATATATAAAGCATTTCACCCCAAGCAAGGTGGAAGTGCCACTATCACGCAAGGGGTTACAGAGAGTGAAAGTAAGAGTAAAGAGTGGGGGTTGAGGAAAGGATAAAGAATAGGACGGGGATCAAGATCAAGGCATGAGAATATGTCGATTGACCTTACATTTAAATTTTTGAAGATCATAGTTATCAGTTATATTATATTTAGCAAGTAAGTGGAAGAGAGTTCCACTGCCGGGAAGTGTGAGAGGAGAAGCTGTAGAAGAGGCGGTTACATTTAACCGTTTCGATAGTAAAAGGGGGGAACCGAGATGCCAACCTAGTAGCACGCTTAAATTCAAGCATTTGGGGCACCAGTGAAAATACCACGTCAAAGCAGTTGCCATGAAAATATTTATAGAAAAGGCAGAGGGAAGCCACGTCACGTCTGTGGGAAAATGACTGGAATCGAGATGTGACCTATCACATTGCATATCTGTCTTTGAATATATATATATATATATATATATATATATATATATATATATATATATATATTATATATATTATTTAAAAAATATGATTCCATATCGCGACATAAGAAGTCCCATGTTTCAAAACAAGAGCCGAAAACTTCAATATAATTATTTAAATTATTTAAATTAAATTGAGTTAAAATAAGCTCTGTTCCATCTTCAAGCGAAATTTTTTTTTGGAATAACGTGTTTCTGAAATTTACGTGTTTTAAAAATTGAAATCAAAATTTCCATGGTAACAGCTAGGGCGAATTGTTTAAATTGGGTAATCGGGTGTTGGGTGTTAATAATAAGTATCAGTATAGAGTTACTTTCGTAGATGTCAAGTCAGTGAAAGGTGGGGGTGTCTAAATTTGAAACGGAAGATGTATTAACCCTCGTCTAGTTTGCATGTCTATGGAGATTTATTTATTTTTTTATTTTATTTTTTTATGAAAGGGATTTGTGAATATAAAAAAAAAACAAACAAAAACTGTCGTAACGTTTGTTTTTTGACGACTTCATAAAGGGTTATCTTTTTTTAGGGTATTTAAACTATTTATTTCGGCTATGGATTATGAAGGGTGTTATATTGTATGCATATTTTTAGTTAATTATTCAAACCATGAATCTGATGAGTGGTCTATGGATTAAACAAGTTATTATATTGTATGCTAGTTTTTAGCTAATAGTTCAAACCAAAAATCTGATGATATCTACAAAAAACCGTTAACTCGTGTCTATTGTTTAATAGATTATTATTATTTAGAAGCTTAATTATGTACAATTTCTCATGGAGGCATAAAGGGCATGGGTCATCCCAGGTTTTACATGTTACAAGGCTAGAACATTAAATTTAAATAATTATATTGAAGTTTTCGGCTCTTGTTTTGAAACATGGGACTTCTTATGTCGCGATTTGGAATCATATTTTTAAATAAATAATTATATTTATGCTCTACTTTTGTATCGAGCACTATTTTTTAAAAATAATAACTAAAATACTAAGGGAATTTGGATTATTTACCTAACCAGTTCCTTCCTATTTTCTATATATTTTCACACACACACACACACACACACACACACACACACACACACACACACACACACACACACACACACACACACATATATATATATTTTTTAATATATGCTTTTGGTATATATTCTAGCTAATTTCATTTAGTTTCTTATTCTTTTTGTTTACAAAGAAAGAAAGAAAGAAAGAAAGAGATGAGTGATAGCGAGGAAAGGTTGGGAGAAATAGAGAAAGAGTGAGGAAAGAGAATGGGAGTAAAAAACAGATTCGAGAAAGAGAAGAAATGTTGATATATGTTAAACAGAAAAAGAGATAGAGAGAAGAAGCTTAGGAAGAGTAAGAGAGGAAAAAGTACGAGTGAGTATTTGAAGTCAATGATGAAAGAAGAGAGGAAGAGGGAATACGAGAGAGAACGGGAAGAATAGCGAAAAGGTCTCGAAAGAAAGAAAGAACCGAAGAGAAAAAGAAAGAGAGAAATACGTGTCTGTCTATAAGATAGGATGGAGTGAGAGTTAGAAAGAAAAAAATAGGGAGAAACGAGAAAGAAAATGAGACGGAGAAAACGTGGACTGGAGAGAAAGAGAGAGAGAGAGAGAGAGAGAGAGAGAGAGATCGAGTAGGCGAGATAAAAAAAAAGAAAAGAAAGAAGAGGACAGAAAAAGAGATAAATAATCAGAAGAGAAATAATGAGAGAGGGAAGTAATTGAGCGAGAGTGTAAATATAGTTTATAGAAGATGGATGAGAAATATAAAGAGATTTCAGTGTGAGAGAGAATAAGAGAAGTAGAGGAAGGGAGAAAATGAGGAGAAAGAATAGAAGAAAAGAGGAAGTAAAAAGAAGAGAGAGAGAGAAAGTAATTAAGAAAGGATGAATGAGAGAAGGAAAAATAGAGTCGATAGAAAGAGAAGAATAGATGTATTTATGTAAGCAAGAGGGAGAGAGATATGGAGATAGGGGAGATACTTTAGTATGAGAAGAAAAAAAAAGGAGAAAGAGAGGAAAAGAAAGAGACGACAGGGAAAAGGAGGAAAGGAGAATGAGAAGAGGATAGAAAAGAGATTGGTAATCAGACGAAAATCAGAGAAATGAGAGAGTAGAAGAGTTTAATGTGTCAGCACTTAAAATATTATGGAACAAAAATGGTTTGTATTGCACGACAGATTCTGCGACAGCAAATTAAAAAAAAACCCAAAAAAACAAAGGACACGGAAACAAAAGATGTTTTCAGAGAAGTCAATGTTGTTTTGCAATGTTGTTTTACTTTGCGCCATTTCTCTGTCGTTCGCATCTCCAATCGGAGGCCATATGCTTGAGTTTAAAAGTTTTCATCACTTGCAAGAAACGACGGAAAAAGAGGAAAACGGGAAAAACTGAAATAGATAAATTCCATGAAAAAAAAAAATTAAGGAGGCCACAGCTTTAGCAGAGTCTTGTTCCTTGTTAATCTCAACTTAACCCATATTTTTATGTGCTAGCTTTCAATTCAAATAGACCCTTCCTAAGATTAACGCAACCGAATCTTCCTACAGCTATTCTCTCACACACCGACGTTAGCCTGTTTGTGATATAACATCCCATTCTCATAAAACTCTTTCCTAGCGATTGACAGAGACGTCCCCAGGGATCGCTACGAGGACCAACACTCTTTTTGCCTTGCATAAATGATCTGCCTAAAAGTATACTCTGATCTTAATGATTACCTATGCTGATGATACGACGGTATATGCGTACACCTCCAGAAGACCAGCGATTGACAGCTGATCTCGCCTCTGACCGAACTCTAACAGTGGGAGAAAAACCCGATAGATTACATTTAATGCCTGGAAAAGCAAACTACCTACATTCCATCATCGCTGATCTAACCTCGAGCTATCACTCAATACGATGAACGGATGTTCTCTGAGTGGCAATTGGGACTTAATCTCAACACAGCACTCAGGTGGAACACGTACATCTGATCCATCGCTAGAGATGCGGGGAAAATGATCGATTATCTGTACCACATCAATAAGTATCTGGCTCCACCTGCTATGCTCTACCTATACGAGAGCCAGATCAGGCCTAAAATGGAGTATGGTCAGGAGCTTGCCTAGTCTTCACTTCCCAGCCTTGATAGAGTCTAAAAGCGTCTCCACGTTCTTGTAGGTAACAAATTATTTTCCAATCCCTTTCACACAGACGAAAAGTCGCATGCCTGTCACTGCTTTATCGCTATTTCCATGAAAATGCTCAGACGAACTATATATCTTAGTTCCAGCAATCCCAACCTTCACGGCTAAGAACCAACATGCTACGTACATTGTAACGAGCCCCCTCATTCCCTTCGTATTCCATTAGTGAGATGTAAGTTCCATTCGAGTACCTTCTTTTCACAAACTGCTGCTTTGTGCAACCGACTCCCGAGAGGATGCTTCCGCAATCACTAGACTTAATCTCTTCAAATCTAGAGTTAACTATTATATTCCCTACGTATCGGCAACAACTGACTCTTACATTGTAATTCCTTACCTCGAGTGGCTCTTGTGTCTAGTACATGGCGAACATCGTTGTAAAAATAAATGGGAGATAGATAGAAATGTACCATCAATACCATCGACCCATATTCATTAATTTTGTTGATATGTGGTAAAGACCACTTCAATCTTAGTGATTAAAAGAAAAGAGTAGATATATATAGGTAGGTAGATAGATATAAATGTAGATGGGTAGAAATAATACATATATATATATATATATATATATATATATATATATATATATATATATATATACATATACACGACAGACAGTGCTAAAATTGTATATTTATTATTACTATAGATACATATAAGTAGATAGATATTAATGTAGATGAATATATATATATATATATATATATATATATATATATATATATATATATATATGTGTGTGTGTGTGTGTGTGTGTGTGTGTGTGTGTGTATACAGAGAGAGAGAGAGAGAGAGAAAGTGAGGGAGAGGTAGATATATATAATGAACATATATATAAATATATATAAATAGATATAAAGGTGGTGATGAGAACCAATGTTGAATGTGAGAGAAGAAACGGGTTGCAGAAACGGAGAGAGAGAGAGAGAGAGAGAGGGAATAGGTGTTTGTCTATAGACAGAATAGAGTGAGAGATAGAAAGCGTGAGTGTCAGAGAAGAAACGCGTTGTAAAAATAGAAGAAACAAAGGAAAATTTACGACAACCTCGTGATGATCGAACTCACAATTCACTAACAACTGATCTATCAATGCAAGTGAAGAAGTGTCCATAACAGCTAATTTGAATTCCTTGCCAGAATATATCCACATAATCTCTTATACTTTTTTTCCAAAATGAATTTCGGACAATTTCTGACGGAATTGTCAGTTATTTTGAAAAGTCGATCAGTAAAATATATCGATACTCATTATAGAAATATTTGCCTAAAAGAATACATGCTAACTAAATACACAGAATGAATATATATATATATATATATATATATATATATATATATTAAGACATTTTTTTTATCTTTATACGATCTTTTTATAAATACAAAAATTTAAGTATTATTTTATATTTTATTATTTATATTTTCATATAGGATACAGGTTCAATTCCTGTCGGAGGACGCATATTTTCTATGAAAATTTTTGGGACATTCAGCCGGTAAATGTCGTTAATACTGTTTATTATAAGCTGAGCATTTACTTAAATATTTGTATCTATAAAAAGAACGTATAAATATAGAAAATGTCTTAAAATAATTGTCGGACTTAGTCCATTTCATAATATATATATATATATATATATATATATATATATATATATATATATATATATATATATACAGTGCAATGAATATATATATATATATATATATATATATATATATATATATATATATATATATATATATACAGTGCAATTAATAAATTGTCGTATAAATTATGCAAAAATTAAAATTACACAAAAATATCTTAAAATACTAAAGAGTAAATTTATTCAATAAAATCTCCATTGACTTCAACCACAGCCTCCAGGCGACTTATGAATCTCCTGCAACTTTTCCGGGCGGTCTCTTTGTTTATGCTGCCATACTCCTTGCCTTCAGTTCATCGTGGGTGTTACAAGAAGTTTTGTTAACCTTTCGCTCAACTGCGTCCCTCATATAATAGCGGCAGTCTGGGGAGATAGATGTCCAGGGTGTAAGGGGTGATGTAGTCGCAGAAATTATTTAACAGCAATGACTGGGTTCTCCTGCTTGTGTGGCATGGTGCAGAGTCCTGTTGCCAGACATAAGGTCTTCCAGCAGCCACCCACTTGAGCCAAGGCAGCACTACCTCCTCAAGGCACTTGCGGGAAGATGAATGGAGGCATAAGATCGGCATCACTAGTGATCACTCCAAACAATTTCGTAATTGCCATTAAATTCATCCAACGTTTTCCGAATCCTCTGCACTTTGCTCAGATTGACACCCAAACACTCTGAAATTTTCGTACTGGAGCTTCCTGCACGAATACCAAGCAGTACAGCAAGCCGTTTCAAAATTTCTGGCGCAGTAAATTACGTCATGATACTCTTTTCCTCGCAGACAGTGCCCAACTGACCCTACTATACTGTGTCCACAAAATCAAACAGGCATGCAATAAATAAAAATATAAAATGGCGAAAATTTACCAATCGCACGCTGCATATAGGAATTGGTAGGTTAAAAAAATCTATATACACGTACATATATTTGTACGTACGTAAATATACTTCTTCCTCAGGTGTTATAAATACAGAGCTCAATGTGATGATATTAGAGAATATACATAATATCTGATGTCAATAGCACGACTAGGAGTTGCATGCAGTTCTTGCAATCTTCAGGCTCGAATATATTCTAACTGTTATGGAATTCTCGTTCTCGTGGTGATGATTCAAATTGTGTGTTAAAATTATATATATATATATATATATATATATATATAATATTAGTGGTTAATTTACACACACACACATATATATATATATATATAATATAAAACACACACACACACACACACACACACACACACACACACACACACATATATATATATATAAATTTCCAAAAGGATAGAATCCAGGTAGAATTCAATGTCCAGGACACAGTAAGAATATAATAAAAAGGATAAGTAATATGGAGAAAATTATATCTTCCCACAATTGTAAAATACTTAAGAACTACCATAGTAATGAAACTCGATCTAGTTGCCCCACCTGCAACTGTAGGAGTAGAGACATTTTTCCAATCGGGGGAAAGTGTATGTATAAGAATGTAATATATGAAGCAACGATCTTCCCCGAAAAAAATATCAACCAGAAAAAAAAAGATAGATAGGTATATCCGCTGGTGATTGGAAGCAGCGTCTGTACAACTATAGACGCTCTTTTAAATATCGATACCTCAAAAATCAAACTTCCTTATCCAAACACTACTGGGATCTGGTGGTTAAAGGACTAACCCCGCATTTCGAATAGAAATTCTCATCAAGAGCTAGAACCCCTAATAATTTCCGCGATCGATGTGATCTATGCATTGCGGAAAATTTTTTTTTATTAAAGATAAAAATCAAGATGAGTTGCTAAATCTTCGTAGTGAGATCATTTCCAAATATAGACATAAAAACGATTTAAAACATAAACACGGTTTTATAACGTGTTGTTACCTATAACAGTTCCATCACTAACATCGGATATGACATTTAAATGAAATGACTCTTTTGATTATCTATATATATCATTGTGTACATTTATGTGATGCTCTATATCATTTGATCATTTAATTTGGGTTAGCAAACTTTATTCATGTGTTAATATATGTGTATGTGGGTATGTAGGTAAAAGTTTTCCTAAATAACTGATATACAAAATCTGATAGATTTCTGATATTTTTATATACCTAGGTATATATGTAAACTTCAGAGATAGATGCGCGTTAATCACTCCGTGGGTTTTTAATATTGTTAACGTTTTCTTCCTCAGTAGTTTTTTTTAAGTACAGATCAATTTAGTTCTACCTATCTATTTTTATATGTTAAATGTGTATATGGATGGACGTGGTTATTTTAATTTTTTTAAATTTAAAATTTTTTTCTTTTAATTTATATATATATATGTGTGTGTGTGTGTGTGTGTGTGTGTGTGTGTGTGTGTGTGCACGCGTATATGTATGAATGTGCTTGTAAATATAAATATGTTGTTGTGTATGTGTGTATATACGTATGTGTTTTGGGGTGTGGAAATAGTAGGTCCTTGCTAGATTAAATATTCGTTAGTTTTTATATGTTTATATTAAATTTGTAACCTGTTGGTGATATTACTTTTGTTAAATTTTCTTGATTGCACAGCGGCTCTTTTATAAATGCCCTTCGGTTTTGGTGCCCCCCCCCATTTTCTTTTTTCTCTTTCTCTCTCATCTTCTGAATTTTAAGTTTAGATTATATCGTCTAAAACTCCTCTCCATAAAACTTCTCTCTGTTAAATTTTAACCCCCACCTTCACTTTTAGGCCTATCTATTCTTCTTTTGTCTGTTACCCCCCCTCTCTAGAGCTTTCATTTACTTCTCACATTCGCCCCCCCACATTCTCATACATACACTCTCACTAAATTTTATTTTTATCCCCGGAGTTATTTCTTTTTTGAATTTGTAGGTCTGATGAATTGGATCGTGATTACGATTCCAATGTAATAAATTATAACCATGGAATATTAGTGCTTACGCTTTTTATTATATATATATATATATATATATATATATATATATATATATATATATATATATTATAGTGAAAAAAGGAAGAACAATAAGATATGTAATCTGATGTTCTTATTGATATTTTTATTTTTACAAAACAGTGTTCAATGTAAATTTACAGAGCATAAATATTATAAATTAACTGACTTAAAAATATGGTTTCATCGCTACACAGGCATTACCATGTTTCAAAATTCGAAAAGAAAAACTTCAAATTCAGTTATATTATATTAAAAGCATTTGTGCATACATGAGAATCTATATATTACTATGTTTATAAAAAATAAAAATGTACTGAATCAGAGACATGAAATAGGTATTCTTTGCCAACATTGTCAAAAAAAAAAATAAAAAGTAAAAATAAATAAAAAATAAAAATAAAAGAAACGTAGCTGGCAAAATACATACTTATACGTAATAATAATTTTTAAATAATTTAAGTAATTCTATTAAATTTATTTGTTTTAAAAAGAAATATAATCTACTAGTAATTAAGTGTAAAATAATATTTTAAAATTGTGGATCAATACAACGGTTTCTAATCCAAACACACCTTTTAAAGAGAATCTGTACAAATTTAACGAATAAAATGCCGTTGATAAAAAAAAAAACAGACGACATGGGTTGAACTGATGTTATAATTCGTTGAAAAAAGGCACCCCTACCCTATCTAGACTTAACCCATTTTCGAACGTAATTCAGAATTGATACAATAATAGTTAATGAAAAAAGAACACGCTACCGCCTCTGTCTAAATGACTGGATTTCTGTGTATCCTTGGAAACAAAGAATTATGAATGTATGTGCTTGTAAAACTCAGTAAATTTTAAAATTTTATTCCAAAATTCGCTTGAAGATGAAACAGAACTAATGCTTTTAATGTAATATAATTGAATTTGAAGTTTTTCTTCTGTTTTTGAACCATGGTAATTTTTGTGTAGCGATGAAACCATATTTTTTAAATCTGTTAATTTATAATATATATATATATATATATATATATATATATATATATATATATATATATGATATCAATGAAAAAAACAAATACGTTGGTGAAACCGACAGAAGACTTGCCTAAACAAGAGAAAATCTCAAACAAATTAAAAAAAAAGAAAAAGAGCTAAGTACAACTATCTATTCAGTACAGTGTTCAACGCCTAGATTACCTAGACAGAGCAAAAACCTGTTCGAGTCGTCGTGAGCTTGAAGTCGGAGTAACGACTAGGGCTGTTATTTGATAGGCGTATATAGACAATTTCCCCCAAAAGCGATATCTAAGGTTTAAAATGGGTTTTAAAAAGGAAAAATCATTCATGAAGCATTTATTTTAATTTCAATTCTAGGCTAGTATATTAAATTAAATATTTCCTATAAGCTAAATGATTTGCTGTATTTCAAACCAAATTTAAATTGATTGGAATAAGTTTTATATGCTTGTTAGTGAAATTGGTAAAATCGTCCATATTGACAAATCTGTCAACACAACATAATTCTTTTT